CCCTGAAGACACATTTGAACTCTTCCAACTTCAAAGGTTGGAGTAGTTCATTATAAAATTTCAGGGGTGAATGAGTTAAATCCAGTATTTTTTTTAACTTCAATTTTTTTTTGACTTTTCCTTAACTCATTACATCTTTGTACTTTAAATCAAATTACATTTCAATGAAAGTCTTTGAAACGGTATGGTGTAAATTCCTGCAGACATTTAAAGGTTGTATATATATATTGCCCCATACGAAATATATCTGTCGCAGTCAGGAGGCCGCTATACACAATGTATAGAACGTGGTAACATGAGCAGAAGGATGTTCAATAACTTTTGTTATTTGAAAGGAATTATCGCGTACTGGTCATTAAAAATCCATTTGGCATTTATTCGACAAACTATTCCCGTGACTCAATTTGACATTTCTTATTCAACAAAAAAAATAAAAATCCATGTACCTGTATTATAAATTGTCATAGAAAAAGAGATTAGAAAGACATTAAAATTGAAGGTGTTCGGGGTACCTACACTGTATTCAGGTATAGATTTCCTATACATTGACGTACAGGTATGCATTTGCTGTATTGAACAGTATACAGAGGATAGAAAAACTGAGTGCCCGGTAATAATGGGTCGATGATTGGCTAAGATTCACAAAAATGACTTGCTAAGACCTGTTGTTCTGATATTTGTTGTCATTTTGCAAGAAAAGCAATCCTTGATTTAAAACTGTCTATAGACTTTACGTGAAGGTTAGAAGAATTATACAAAGACAAAATCTAAAATTCAAAATTGAACAAAATCAGAGCATGGAATTGGATGAGTGTATCTGTTATGGTACTTTATTTAAAAACAGGTTACTGTGTCTTATTTTGATTTTAATCTCTTAAATCACATTAATTTTATAGTACAAATTGATTCCAACTGATTATCAATTTTGAATTTCCAACTGATGTCCCATCACTTCATGTGAAATGTTTTGAATTAGCATATTGCACCCAATTATTTCAAACACAATTGCATTCCTCAAGCTATTATATTAAAGATAACACCCTTACCTTTCACCAAGATGACCAGTGTTCGATTCCCCGATCAGACGTGAATTTGTGGTATGGGGTCACCTGCCTGACAATGTTGGTTTTCTCATTATACTTCGGTTTCCTCCCACATAAAGATCCCGCGTGTGCTAACATACGGGCCAGCAAGAGTGATTAATATAAGTTGTTTCAAATTTGTTGTAGATTAAATAAAATTTACATTTACATACATTATGTATAGGGTACAATGTAGATGTTGCAATTCATTTAAATTTTCCCTCACATAGTATTAATAATGAACATTCATAAGGCTACTATTTTTTTTTACCCTAATTCTTAAAGGTTTAAATCTTAAGCATAACAAGGGGCAAGGTTCAAATCCTGGTTGTGGCACCGATTTTGTAAAATGCAAGGCATCAAACAGGACCTCAAAGCCAGAAACCTGTAAAGTCTATCTCTGTATATAGCTATCGGCAACTTTGTGTCAATTGAGCGACATAAATTATGTTATTATTAAAATGAATTTATGTAAAGATGTATGTGGTCAACCTAAATTATCTGAGTCTGCTTACATTGTGTGCTAATTATAGACTATGGACATAGAAACAGGTTTGCCTGCAGCCATCAATTAACTTAACTTATTTAACGTACTTATTTAACGTATTCCCAGTCTTGTGTTTGAGAGCTAGAGTTATATCTTGAAGAGTAATAACAGTGTGTTATTTATAATCCCTGGCATTGTAAGTAATATGAGACTTGTGTATTTAATTGAATTGGCCTTATTTTGTTACATAAGATTTTGATTTCATTGGTTTTACCACCTGTACAGCTACAGTGCTGAAATTGGAGTACTCTATCAATAGGAAAGATCTTGTAATAATAAAGTATAGTCAACTTCCATTTGATTGCAAAATTGTAAAAATCAATCTGACATTGCACAATTCAATTTGGTCTCATTTGTACCAAGTATTTGAATTAAAGTTTTATCTTTTTTTGATAAGTCTGATAAAATGGTATAAAGAACATTTTTCATCTTGGATGTTTGTTTTAATTTAAACCTATTATTTTGTAAGACTGAATGTAAGAATAAACTCAGTATAATTTATTCCACTGACATGAAAATCTAAAAGTTTATATTTTAAACATCTGTTGTCTTCAAAATATATATCTACGGTATTTAAACTAAAAAAGAAATAAAGGTAAATGTTTGGATATTTATGAAATTTCATTTTAAAAATTGATTTCAGAAATATAATTTGAAACTTTGGTGTGTATCTAACAAGTTTGGACATATTCAGCTTGTCAGTAACTCAAATCTTTCAAATATATTTTTACAAAATGTCTCCAAAAATTTTATAAACTAGTTATGAACTTCAATAAAATGATATTAAAATATTAATATGAAATTGTACCTGATTGGACAAGTGAGTTTGTTTGTCATTAAGCAGACTACATGTTGAAAACTTCAGCCCTGCAGAGCTCACCAACCCAACACTGTTAGTCAAAACAAAGACTTCCTTGTTGAGGTGCTGAAGGCATGAATGTTACTATTTTGTAAGGTCAAAAGGTCAAATGTACAAAATGAGAATTATTAGATGTGAGGAATTACCTCATTGACTGCAAGTTTTTTAAAGGCTGTCTTAAATATCTACTGTACTTAAATGTTAATAGTTCAGGGTAAATGTATATTAGGACATTTAATATGTTTTTGAAAATTTTGAAAATTGTTTTACCAGGAAACAAACTAGCTAAGTTTCTGTCTGTATATATACACCAATATTCTGCTTCTGAGCAGTCATGTCAAGAAATTGAGATAAATGGCCAGAACATGTACAAAACAAACTATTTTTATTCGGTAAAGTTATAATGAAGTTTCAATTGATTGTTTGTGTTTAGTGAAATTGTACCTATTTAAGTCCTTTACAAGATAGAAAAAAAGAAGTATAATTGTAAAAAAAACACCAAAAAAACATATTTACATATCACTGTTTAGGATTAAAAACATAAGTGCACAATGTTGCTTTATATTATGAAGGTGTGAGGTCAATTTGCCACCACCTGAATTAGAAATGGAAGTTTTGAAAACATTGATAAATATACTAAGAAAACCTGGATTGACTGTATCATATATAGGTCAGTATACACTGGACCAGAAAGTTTGAGTTGGCTTCAAACTCATTGGGTCAAGGCATTTTTGTTATGTACAGTGAAATCACTTATTTTCGTGGGGTTTTTAATTTCGTTGGTTTTGAGGGTTATCTTCATCCGTGAATTCGTAGGTCCACAAAGGAATTAAAAATTTGATATAAAGCAATTCTCCGTTTGAGATTTCACACGACGGTGCGTAAAATATAGGATTTTGTTAGTAAACAATAGGGGTGTAGAAGTAAAGGTTTGAGGCTAAAAATCATTATTTACTTTCCAGACCCATCGTCTATCAGAGGAATTTTGTTTCGATGTCCTCTGTCTAGATATTGTTTCTACACTCTCACAGAGTTCCCTTCACTTGTGTTCCAATGAAGACCTAGGATTTCTTCAAGCTGCTGTCATTGCTTTCAGGTCAATTTTCAAGGTCATTGTTGCTATAAATAGAAACTAATTCTCTTTACATGACCTTGAATCAATTAATCTTTCCCTAAATTGAAATAAGGTAATGTGCATAAAAAGGAGAAAAATCTGCTCTGCATTTGTCAGAGTTTAGACACTTGGTCATTAATAATGCTTATGAATGTAGATTCAAGTTTATACAATTCAAAAACTTTGGGCAGTAATGGGGCTACACCCAGGGGTCAAAGTTCACCTTAGCTTCTCTACCATTTCCTGATGAGCATTCTAGGCCTAGCTAGGCCTCTGGTCCTCTTTAATTGTTTAACAGACTCGGAAAGCAGAACTTGTTGATATTTTTAAATGTTCTGGAATCACGTTGATATTTTAAATGATCCAGTATCGTCGGAGGGGTGAGTCACATATATAGTCACGCCTAATTACCCGACGGTTATAGACAGAAAATACTATTGTATATACCCGGGCTACCCACCACTGTGTAATTATACCTGGTAGAAATGACCTTCGAAAACTGATGAAATTCAATACATTATAATTAACATTAGAATTTACCCGTAGGCTATCAAGTAAGATTCAATTATCTACGTTTGTTGTACTTTGTGTTTTTACACATTGACTTGGCAGTGGAGACAACTTTGAAACAAAGTGAAATTTTATAGTGGATGTGGTTAAATGGGAATTCCTCCAATAAACACATTTTCTCCATTGATTTAGAAGAGTCGGGAAATTAAAGCAGTAATGCAATTTAGCTTAACTGTTACATTCTGAATGGAGAATTACGTTTTCTTTTTGATATTCTTCCAGTTTTTGTTTGCCAATTTTTCCTGAAAATGTACAGAAAAATATTGGTACATATTAAAGTACATATTGTATATGAAAGCACATGTACAATGTCCTTTATCATTGCATTTCTGAACATATATCCATGACACATGTCTGAAATATATAAATTATATTTAACAACATTCTTGCTGGCCCATGCCAGATGGAAGTGTGGGGGGCCGGGTGAGGGGGGTCTTCATGTCGGAGGAACCGCAGAAACCCACATAGTCGAGCAGGTGACCTTTTCATGTTCAATTGGGGAATCGAAACCTGGCCATGGCCATGCATGGGTGTCTTTGTGAAAAGCAAGTGAACTACCCACTGTACCACCCAAAATCACCACCCGTCTGTTAGAATCACCTGTCTTTAAGGACTTAGCCTGTCTATAAGACAAAAAAAATCTCTTTCTTGTCCAATCTTAGAAGCATCACAGCTGTAACTATATACCAGGTACCTTAAATATAGGAAAAGAATCGAAGAAACAGGATTTTTCGGTCTAAGGTATGTTGATATTACTCATAAATATGTTTAAGAGATAGGAGTTTGACACCCTTAGACTAGAAGATAGTTATGTATAACGATACATACTTGAGCTTCCTGTTGTTCGTGGGTGTCTGGAACATATATTGACACATACCAATACTGAAAACATTTCTCACGCATGCCGATAGCACTCAATTTAATCAGTCATCTATATGATATTGATATGTATAGGCAGGATATATCTGTGTTTGTAATATCTTAGGGAGTGTTTTAAAGTATTTTTGATAACTTTAATATTTTAATGGTTGTTTTGAAGCTTAATCAATAAATGTCAAATTAAACCTACAAATGTATATGATTACATGCATTCCTGAGATATAGCATATGTATATGTCATCCAAGAATACCACAATTTACGTCTGTGTGAAAAACTGGACAGTACACTACAGGAAATTTAAGGATCCCCGCACCAGTGCAAAAAAATGAAACTATGTATATATAAGTTATTTCCTGACATGACTACAGCTTTGATAAAAATAAAAATAATTTCTGAAAATAAAAACATACCTTACAGGACTTTCATGAGGAGAAAAATAAAGATGCAAGAAACAACCAGAATCCACATCAGTGTTCTGCGTGTAAAAACACAGCAGCGCTACACCAGGACTGGAACTCTGGACTTGTAATTGTTATATTCATGTAGTATATTTATAATTCGTAATGAAGAATAAAGTTCTAACCAATGATGTGCCGTTTTCTAATTTCAGACTTCTCACACCTACGAGACCTTGACCTTCAACACCACAGGGGTGTGTAACCCGCCCCTGGTGCGGACGACCAATGAGGACAGTTGGTACGAGACAGTGCCAGGCTGTGGTATCCAGTGTCAGGATCCGTTTTACACGGACAAAGAACATCGCGAAGCCCACATCTTCATCGGAGTGTTTGGGTCCCTCTGTCTCGTCTGCACTCTATTTACAGTGGTGAGTATTTGCCAAGACATTTAAAATATATTAGTCAGTTTACGAGCTCTGGGATACTAACGCAAGTATTTTGGGAAATACTGGGGCACTAAAGGTGACATCATGGGTAATATCGGGACACTGAAAGGGACATCATGGGTAATATCGGGACACTGAAAGGGGCATCATGGGTAATATTGGGACACTGAAAGGGGCATCATGGGTAATATCGGGACACTGAAAGGGACATCATGGGTAATATCGGGACACTGAAAGGGGCATCATGGGTAATATTGGGACACTGAAAGGGGCATCATGGGTAATATTGGGACACTGAAAGGGGCATCATGGGTGATATTTTGACACTTAAAGGGACATCATGGGTAATATCGGGACACTGAAAGGGGCATCATGGGTAATATCGGGACACTGAAAGGGGCATCATGGGTAATATTGGGACACTGAAAGGGGCATCATGAGTGATATTTTGACACTTAAAGGGACATTATGGGTAATATCGGGACACTGAAAGGGGCATCATGGGTAATATTGGGACACTGAAAGGGGCATCATGGGTGATATTTTGACACTTAAAGGGACATCATGGGTAATATCGGGACACTGAAAGGGGCATCATGGGTAATATCGGGACACTGAAAGGGGCATCATGGGGATATTCTGACACTTAAAGGGACATTATCGGAAATATGGAGATTCTAAAAGAGGCAACATGGGTAGTTCTGTATCATTTTGGAAAGAACTTGGGTGAACTAAAACAGCACCTGATTTCAATATCAATTCTCAGTCTTGCATACTGTTTGTTAAAATGGTGTCAATGTACAATATTATATACTTCATATTCAAGTAAAATAGTAACACATTTACTTTTAAATCTTGAATTTTTAAAGTTTCTCATAGAAATGCGAACTATTTGCTTGGAGCTCCGATATATATAAGTACATATCTGTATACCTACAGTACTCTATATACATTGTACATACACACGTATAGAGCTTATCTGATTTCACTGGTGATTGACAGCTCAATGTGATGGGTCGGTTCACAGGTGTGACGGGTCAAGGGAGATAATCTCAGGTGTGTCGTGAGTCAGTTCCTCATTCAGTTGAAACAAAAGACCTGTTTGTCAGGTACATAAGACAATGGCCCTGGCCTACTCATCAGTTCCTCACCGCTGTAGAATGCTCATTTGTTTTGGTCACCTATTGAATAGCGGGACAGATCCCATTTATCATAGGCATATTTCTTATTGACGTTTTTTAATTTATAATTGTTTGTACATATATGTTGTATGGGTGCTTGAACAGAAAGATATTTTATGACAGAGTTTTTTATTTGGATTTTACATGGTGATATGATAGTTTTTTTCAGACAAAAAAGGATGATTTCTCTTAATGTATATAATTCATGGATAATAGTTCAAATTCTGTATGTGGTTTCATTGTGACTTTTGAAAACTGATTTTTAAGTTAGATATTAATTTATTTTAAAATTTGGAATTTTAAAATTTGGAATTTCAATAACTATTTTGTTTAATTAAATATCCTGCGATTCAAAGAATTTGGATTTAGCCACTTCGGGTCAGTTTCCAGGTTATTTTTCTGCTAATGATATTTTGTTGGCCCTCGTTTATTTTTCAGTTTCTGAGGTTTAGAGTTTCAACCTTGTGATATTTTGTTGGCCCTCGTTTATTTTTCAGTTTATGAGGTTAGTTTCTGCTCACAATATTTTGTTGGCCTTCGTTTATTTTCAGTTTTTGAGGTTAGTTTCAGCCTTGTGATATTTTGTTGGCCTTCGTTTATTTTTCAGTTTCTGAGGTTAGTTTCTGCTCACAATATTTTGTTCACCCTCGTTTATTTTCAGTTTTTGAGGTTGCAGGTTTCAGCCTTGTGATATTTTGTTGGCCCTTGTTTATTTTTCAGTTTCTGAGGTTAGTTTCAGCCTTGTGATATTTTGTTGGCCCTCGTTTATTTTTCAGTTTCTGAGGTTTAGAGTTTCAACCTTGTGATATTGTGTTGGCCCTCGTTTATTTTTCAGTTTCTGAGGTTAGTTTCTGCTCACAATATTTTGTTGGCCCTCATTTATTTTCAGTTTTTGAGGTTAGTTTCAGCCTTGTGATATTTTGTTGGCCCTCGTTTAAATTCAGTTTTGGAGGTTAGTTTCAGCTTTGTGATATTTTGTTGGCCCTCGTTTATTTTTCAGTTTATGAGGTGATTTTCTGCCTTATGATATTATGTTGGCCCTCATTTATTTTCAGTTTACAAAATTAGTTTTGCCTCATATTATGTTGGCCCTCAGTTTTCAGTTTTTGATGATTATAGTAATCAGCACAGTTCTCCCATTTTTGGACTGCATTTGTATTTATGGTGCAAAATCATAGTTCAGTGAGTACAAAAAAACAATATAAAGGATTTCTTGTGTATGGTGGCATCTTGTGTAATTAACCCTTTCACCACTAGACCATAATGGAATCATCCAGATGAATCTATGGTACAGTCTACTAAAGTTACCTAGGGGTGAAAGGGTTAAGGACAGAATTGTTACTAAGTGGGACTCCATACTTTGGTCAAAGGACGTCAAAGAAGTCTTTTGTCTATTTTTAGATTCCAGCTGACTACAAAATGTACACTATCAATGTGACAACTTGTTTACATTCCAGCTGACGTTTCTGATAGACTGGAAGACTTCCAGCCGATACCCAGCTCTCATCCTGTTCTTCATCAATGGCTGCTTCTTCTTCTGCACGATCGGCTGGATGGCTCAGTTTTCTGGGGATGCAAGGACGGACATCGTGTGTAAGGCTGACGGAACCACACGCCACGGGGAGCCCAAGCTGGGGTATGTAATGGTCCAAGGGTCTTAAGTTCGTAAGATAAAACTCCCTATTTGATTGGCTGCCAGATGACTTTGAATAGGCCCTGCAACAGTGTGGAGGGAGCATCAAGTGTTTGCTTTTTGTGTTTACCTCCATTACTCAAAAAAACTCAACATTCTTCAAAATTCATTTGTGGATCGAGGTGTAACCGTAGAAATTCTCTTGTGCAGAATTTTTTGCGTCAGGAATGTTTAAAAATATATATTTATTCTTTATATCTGTAACATATATGTAATCTTTAAATAGATATTTGCTTGTGGATATTTTCACACTCATTTACTTAAAAAAAAATGCAGGTTTTCCCACTATTACAAAAATCTTGTCGAATATACTATAGCAATATTTTAAATGTAGGTCGTTGTGACCTATACTTTGTGCTTTACTGTCTATGGTTAGAATCTGTGTATCTTAATTTCTTTGGTTAAAGTTGATATTTCACTCCGTATTTCATTCCAAGTGACTAGGGAATATTTGTGGTTTACAAATACTTTATACTGGGAATTTAGCTTAGTTTAACTTTCGTCTTTTTTGCTGTCAATTATGTGGGAAAATTTATCATCGCATCGAATAGAAGTTACCAAGTAAACATTTACAGTAATTAAGTGTGAATGTCGAAATTAAGGTTCAGTGAATGTAGATTTTTACCTACAAAGAGTGACAGTTTTCTGGTGTGCATTATTTTCTTGTTATACAGATTAGATTCCCTGTTTGATTGTCAAATGATTTATTTGTGCAGGTCTGGAGAGACAGCCTCCTGTACATTTGTGTTCATCCTGGTCTACTACTTCATGATGGCGGCCTCTGTCTGGTTTGTCATGCTGGCCTACGCGTGGCATCTCACCTTTAAGGCCCTGGGAACACCTCGCGACGACCTCACTAGTAAGACGGCCTACTTCCACATCGCCAGCTGGTGTGTTCCTCTGGTATTAACCATCATATGTCTGGCTGTATCTGAGGTAAGTAATGGTCAGCTACAGGTCATCTACAAATTCACTCTACTACTCACTCGAGTTAGATTTTAGGGTTGTTTCGGGTTTCCATATCTCACATCTAGATCTCTGTATTTTGAGAATGGTGGGAGATTTTAGGTTTTACTGGTTTTGAAAAAGCCTGTAAATGGCCCTAAAAAAGCCTGTAAATGACTCTAAAAAAGCCTATAAATGGCCCTAAAAAAGCCTGTAAATGGCCTTAAAAAAGCCTGTAAATGGCCCTAAAAGAGCCTTGAACTCCAAAGTAAAGTTTGTGAACAAACCCTGGACACAAGGTGTCTGTTAGCTTATTGTGTGATGTAGGATCCTTTTCCCGTCTTCCCTAATCCAGAAAAAATGACCATATAACCACATAGGATAAAATTTTGTTTATTGTCAGCTATCAACTGCGTTTTAAAACACAAAGATTGTCACCCAAATCTAGCCACAGCATTTGTGGAAGAACTGGTGTTACCAAAATGTCTGATGGAAAACTTTAATATCTAAACATCATTAATTCATTTCTGACCGTCTGACTACATACCATATATAAACTGAACACGTTATCAACTTTACAGCTTTATATGTGACCAAAGTGTAAGTTTGTTGTTAACCTTGAAAGCCATCTTACTTAGATCAATATGCAATTGCTAATCAGAACATGGTCTGTGGTACATAGCTATAATTTCGATAGATTGGGACATTTTGTGACCTTTATTTTACAGATTGACGGTGATTCTGTGACTGGGATATGTTTTGTGGGGTACTGTGAGTTTGACATTTTGTGTCCTTTATTTTACAGATTGACGGCGATGCTGTGACTGGGATATGTTTTGTGGGGTACCGAGAGGGTGACATTTTGTGACCTTTATTTTACAGATTGACGGTGATTCTGTGTCTGGGATATGTTTTGTGGGGTACCGAGAGTGTGACATTTTGTGACCTTTATTTAACAGATTGACAGCGATTCTGTGACTGGGATATGTTTTGTGGGGTACTGTGAGTTTGACATTTTGTGACCTTTATTTTACAGATTGACGGTGATTCTGTGACTGGGATATGTTTTGTGGGGTACCGAGAGTGTGACATTTTGTGATTTTTATTTTACAGATTGATGGCGAATCTGTCACTGGGATATGTTTTGTGGGGTACCGAGAGTGTGACATTTTGTGACCTTTATTTAACAGATTGACGGTGATTCTGTGACAGGGATATGTTTTGTGGGGTACCGAGAGTGTGACATTTTGTGACCTTTATTTTACAGATTGATGGTGATTCTGTAACTGGGATATGTTTTGTGGGGTACCGAGAGTGTGACATTTTGTGACCTTTATTTTACAGATTGACAGCGATTCTGTGACTAGGATATATTTTGTGGGGTACCGAGAGTGTGACATTTTGTGACTTTAATTTTACAGATTGACGGCGATTCTGTGACTGGCATATGTTTTGTGGGGTACCGAGAGTGTGACATTCTGTGACCTTTATTTTACAGATTGACGGCGATTCCGTGACTGGGATATGTTTTGTGGGGCACCGAGAGTGTGACATTTTGTGACCTTTATTTTACAGATTGACAGCGATTCTGTGACTAGGATATGTTTTGTGGGGTACCGAGAGTGTGACATTTTGTGACCTTTATTTTACAGATTGACGGTGGTTCTGTGACTAGGATATGTTTTGTGGGGTACTGAGAGTGTGACATTTTGTGACCTTTTTTTTACAGATTGACGGTGATTCTGTGACTGGGATATGTTTTGTGGGGTACCGAGAGTACGCCTACAGGCTCGGTTTTGTGGTTATACCACTTGTGGTCTGTCTTTGCGCCGGATTGGTGAACCTCCTACGGGGTAAGTGGGTAGATTTTAAAGTTCTTCTACTGTGGCAGAATGAGAACCTATAATATTGCGTTGATTAACTAATTTTATTGTCGCAGTGTGTATCAAAAATTAAAGATTGATATTGTTAAGATTACTAGTTGATGTTTCACCTTTTTTAATTTTAAAAAGGTGAGAATATATCTTATGCTTGCCTTTCATGATAACTGAAGCTAGAACTGGTACACTGTAAGCCTCAGGCAAAATACACCCCTTGCCAATGAAAAAAATATATATATCAGAAAAGGAGTATAACTGGCATAAAGATGTGGATTTAAAAAAACACCATTGCATAACTTTTTCCAGTACAAATCATGTGTACTAAATCTCATAAATATCAATCAAGAAGGCAAGTACATGTAGTACTTAGGGCAGAATGTTTAAACAGATATAAATATAAGAGATATACATGTAACTCCTACTAAGAATCAAAATACAATCAAATATATTTCATTGTAATGTACAGTCTTTTCAGTTCGATTATAAGTTTTATTTTTCGGTATTTTTATAAAAAAAAAAGGACCTGGATTATGCTATGAAACAGCGAGAAATTTGACTCATAAAAGTTTGATTAATGTGGGATAAAAAAATCAGGCTTTGCTATAAGTTTGTCACACCGAGAAATTTGAATCTTCAAAGTTTGACTGTAGAACATAAATCACAATCACAAAACTGATAGAAGACAGTGTATGATATTGTATTTTGTGTCTATTGGTAGGACTTCGCACACTTGTCAAGCTAAGGAAGGACACGCCAGACTTTATCAGTGACAGGGCCACGTCAAAGATAAGGGAGACAATCATCAGACTCGGTAAGCTGCCCACATAGTCGAGATTTAACCTGTTTTATCAGTCTTAGTGATTGTAATTTAGACCGATTGTAACGTTACATATTGAACCATGAAACACCTTTTCAGCTTAATTTGCACTTATTTCTGTCAGATGGAATTTCTACATATTATTAGGAAAAAAATGTTTTCTATTTTATTTTATTTTTACTTTCATTTTAGGTATATTATACTTCGCCTTTCTTTATGTTTTGTTTTTCTGCCTTCGTTTTAGGTACATTTACTTTCTTGGCTTTTGCGTTTGTGTTGATCTCATTCTCTATACACATCTACTCCTTTGCCAGTGAACAGGAATGGGAGGACAGCTTTAAGGACTATTACTTGTAAGAAATTAACTCATTTGAAATCATTTCTGTCTTGATGTACAAAGATTTAAGCTGCTACTTTGAATTTATTTTTACAAATGTCTCCAGAACGTAGCTCAAGTTCAATAAAGGGCTACAAGAACATGGCCTCAAGTTCTTGTTTCTCTTACAGGGATTTCTAAGATTATTTCTGTGAAAATATTGGATAGTCACAACTTTCCCTCACCGCACATGATAAAACAAATATTACTGTGAATATATGTATCATCATTACGAATGTAAAACATTTTTACATCAATGGGTTAAAAAAGTAAATAACCATATGAACTTGTACAGACTGAGAGAAATCAACAAAAGTTATTTTCATAACTTTCAATTAATGACGAAACTTGTGTTTTCATCAGCTGCCTTGCCAACGCGACCGTGACTAAAACGGTGGACAGCTCCTACTCGCGTACCTGTACCATGGCAGCCAGGCCAAGTATCGTGGCTGTCGAGTTCCACGTCCTGGCATTCTTTGGCGCAGGAATTGCGATGAGTAGTTGGTCATGGACGAAAGCTTCCCTACTATCCTGGGAACGTTTTTTACGGAAGTAAGAAATGATAATGTGTGAAAATTTAATATGTTGTTACAGTAAATTATTCTTGTTTTAGTTTAAGATTCATTCAGGGAATGTGATTTGAATAAAAGAGCTCAAAANAAACACAAAATATAATATGCCACAGAATAAAATTAGGAAAAGAAATGTTTGTAAATTTTATTTGGTTGCTAAAATGTGTTGGTTTTTTCCTTAGGAGTTTGAACTCCTGTAAAAGCTAGCAGGATTAGTATTAGTTTCTCACTTTTAAAAAAAAAGGTCAATGAATAAAGCAGATCTGGAAAAGAATTTGACGAGAGGTAATGCGCTAGAGACACTTTCCTGAAATGGTGACTTTGACTGTTTACTGATGAAAAGTAATTCCTTTTACCCTCAGAGTTTTCAAAAAGCCTTCAAACAAGCCGGTGAAGATGAAGAAACACAAGATGATTGCGAAAGCCTTTGAACGCCGAAAGGACATGAATAATGGACGCATGTCAATCAGCTTCGGTAGCACACATGATGACCCTTTAGGTAAAATATTAGTTTCAGAGATCTGAGATACAAAAGTTTAATAGATCAATGAGATTTAACTCATTAAGTACTGTTAGCAATTCAAGTGATTGGTAACAAAATAAACACAAAAATCCAAAATGAAAATTCTAGGGGGTTGAACTTTGGACTTATTCAATACCAGTTCTACACTTAACCATTGTTGCTATCCAGAAATTGTAAAATGCACAGCATCAAAATGAGATGTGAATACCTCGATAATGAAAGAAGGGATTCAAAGTCAGAAAATCTGTGTTTTAAAGGAGATAGAAGGGAGGGTACTCCAAGTATAAAAAAGGCTTTGAAGTGGAACTCTTCTTGACAATTATAACTTGCACAGTGGCACCCTTTACCTTAAGCTGTTGAATTGCCATTATCAATGGCTCTTATCCTTGCTGATGTGATAAAAAAGATTTTGTGATATCAAAATCAGGTTTTTTTTAAGATTTAGCTGTGATTAAGAAAATGTGTTCAATTTAATACTGTTGTGTAGAATCTAAATAAACTTTAACCTTCAACCTTGATCTTAAACCCTAAACCTTCTTTGTGTGTTGTTTTCCAGGAATGAAGTTTGATTTGAACAGTGTTAGTTCTCACGAGATGTCATCAAACTTTGCTAATGCAATGCCCAAACTTGTGCGTAGACGCGGAGGGATGATAATACCCACCGCTGGCACACTTCGACGTTACTCTGACTCAGGTATATTTTGATTCCTTATAGACTTCTGGTGATGCTGGTATATGTTCTATTGACCTGATAGAATAATAATAACCTTGGTCTAAGTCAGTGGTTAATAAAGTTATATCAAAGTTTAAACTGAATGGAAAATCCTTATGTAATATGAGAAAATGTATAGCACAGCAAAAAATGCATACTTCATCAAAAAAGATTTGATTAAAAAAATCAAAAACATGATAACAATAATGGTCAAAATGACAAAAAAAATATTACTTCAAAATATATTTTATAAGAAATTTCTATAATTTTCTGAAATCAACTTCAATGTTTAATGATTACTTTCATAGATATTGGGTCCATGGCATCAAAGATGGCATCTCGTCGTCAGTCTCTAGACTCACAGCTCAGCGAAGCTCAGGGTCAGTTCCACCAGAGTGATCAAAGTGAAGATATGAAAGGAGGGAAGAAAAAACGAAGGAAGAAGAGGAGGAAGAAGAACAAAAAGAGGAATAGGATTCAGCCTGTTCTTGGTCCAATATCAACCAAGCACACTGGGACATTTAGTCACCGTCGTGGAAAGAAAGGTCGTCGAAACAGTGATTCATCAGCCATAAGCAAGGCCTCGGCTCACGGAATTGATTTTGCTTTGGAACGAAATAGCATGGAAGCAGTATCATTGAATTCATATTCACATAATAACAGCCTGGAGGCAGTGACGTTACCCGCCCCACCGAAAACTCTGTCAACAAACTATGCCATATTCACTGCTAGTACTTATATGAATGAAGTCAATCAAGAGGAGAACGGTAAAAGGAATGGTAGACAGAACGGTAACACGGGATCGCAACGAAGTAGGGCAAGGGAGGTAACTTTAGAGATGGCAGAAGCTCACATATATCAACAGCAACAGGCCAATGGAGGATTGGGAAATTCAAATCGTGCAGGTCGTCAAGACAGCTTCTCTGGATCAAGACAAAACGTGAGATCCAATCAAGGCAGACAAGGGTCTGCGGGGAAAACAGTCAGTCGTATCGAGCCAGGACTTCGACAGCCCAATGGATCAGCTTCAAGTCGTTCTAGCAGGGGAAGAGTTAGTTCCGGAAGGTCCGATAGATCTGGTCTCAGTTCGGCTCGATCAGATCTTTCAGGTCCAAGGTCAGAACGATCTGGTCTTGGATCAGCTAGGTCAGATCGGTCTGGTCTTGGATCGGCTAGGTCAGATCGGTCAGGTGTCGGGTCAGCTAGATCTGGCCTAAGTTCAGCAAGATCAGACCGCTCCGGTCTTATGGGGCCAGCAATGAGACTGACTAATGGTTCCGCCTCTAGTAGATCTGGCCAATCAAGGCAGAGTTCTGCAAGGTCAAATAGGTCACAAAATAGTCAGATCCCTGTGTCTGCACCAACATTACCAGGCATAGCTGTAGTCGAAGTGGAGGACGAGGATCTTGTGTCGGTGACTTCATTAGACTGATGTCAGCATAAACAATTACTTCTATCCATTGTTTGAAGACTAATGTCACCCTAAATAATCTTGTGTACCCAGTGGTTAATACAATTATGTCTCATAGATAACAAAACTGAAAAGACTATAATTTTACCTGTTCATGAAATGTAATTTTGCTTAACAAGACATCTCGTAAGGAAAGTATGTAAAATGAATTTCAAAAAAAATTAAATGTCTTCCATTTTATTTCCCATAGTAGATTCTTGGGGATCTACATTTAAAGGAAGTGGATCTGTCATGGTTGTAAAGGGTAAAAAAAATATTTTTACCCACTTTTGTACACTTGATATTTAAAAATACATTGTAATTTTACCTGCTCAGGTAAAGCAATTGTTTTAGAAGATATCTAAAAAGAAGCATTTCAGAAAAAATAAGCATTATTTTGTCTTCCATTTTATTTCCCACAGTAGATTCTTGGAAAATCTACATTTAAAGGTAGTAAAACTCTCTTGGTTGTAAAGGGTAAAATTTAAAAAGCGATATTTTCACACAACAGTGTACATTACGTATTTTTGGAGAAATGGAGCAGGCAAAGGATTTGTAACTATCGGAACCTTGGTTCCTGTTGCTATAGTGATGGTAGTGTTACAAATGTATATGTTCTGGTTGTCTTACACCCTTACAAGATTTTGATTTGTTGCTATATGTATGTTTACATGTGGAGAAGAATCTCAAATACGATATCCTAGATACTCATTGTCAAGGTTGAAACCTGATTTTCAAGGTCAGACCTATAATATTTTACTGTTTTTATCCTTCAATAAGCCCAGGGGGCCAACACATAATCTCTTACTCAAAGGAGGGGGCAGGCTTGATACAGGACAACACATAATCTCTTACTTAAAGACGAGGGAATTAATACAGGACATTAGTTGGAATTTCTACTGAGCTACAATAGATATTGGTGGGCTTATTACCAGGCATGGGCTTATTGCTGGATAAATATGGATGAGTATTATCACTTGATACATTTACATTATCAAATTAGATAACATGTTTAGGTACATTTTAATAATGTACGTTAGATTGATGTTAATTATAGTTTTAGTTACTAATTGTTCATGGAAGTTTTCATTTTGAAAAAGATACTGTGGATTATTAATTTTTGTGGGGGATTTATTTTTGTTGATTTTGTTTGTGGGTATGTATTCTACATCAACAAATTGTTATACACAAAATGTTGAATATGTGTTCTGAACAACAATTTATGAAGATATTGGTATACCAGTATTAAAAACCTTGGCCAAAGTCAAATTCTTGGGTCAAAAATAATTACATTGTCAAAACCATGAAACTTGAGCCCCATACAAATATATAAATTCACAGTATATTTATCATGTTGTGACTGGTTCACATGTAAACTACAGTATTCCGTTCAAATTAGTTTGTTCTAGTTGTTACCTAAACTCATAAATTGTCGGAGAAACTGATCTGTCAATCCAGGCATTTATATACACTAAAACCTTGTTATACTGCCAACATTTTCCCAGCAATTAAATTTAAGCATTATATAGAGGTTTGGCAAAAACCTGAGAGAGCATATTGAGGAATTTGTGAGGTAAAAAATTCAAAAAGATTGACTTTGAAATATATTTGAAGCAGACAAGTTGGCAAATTAACAAGGGGCATTATATCAAGGTTTTACTGTAAGGCTTATCAATGCAAATTTGTTCATAATATGTGAACGTGAATGCAGTGTATGACAGCATTTTATGAAAAATAATTATTTGAGAAGACAACGATATTTTTATCTTAGATGCATCATTGTCGAAAGACATACTTTTAAAACCATATCTTTGTTGTATGTATTGTTGAACTGCAATGAACAGTGATTTATTTTTGGGCAGGGGGAGGATGGAGGGGGGATTTGTTTAAATTCTATGCAATTTGACAGTTCATGAATAAATTAATAACATGTCCATCGTCAATACTTTTTACATGAGTAGTATTTTGTATCAATTGTTTTACCTTAATGTCTATGCAAGTGCTTTTACCTGTAATGTTGTACTTAAATTGAAGAATATTTCCACCATAGTAGGTAAATGTATAATTCTGATATTATGTGAATTTTCATATGCATTAAATATCAGACATTTTATTTAGAAATTTACCTCTTATTTTAATATGTACAGTAATAACTATCATATATTTTGTAATTTTCATTAAAAAAAATGATTTCATTTATGAAAATATGAGGCAGCCATTGTAAGGAAATGTGATAAAATGCTGAAAAGGTTGTTTTTAATTACATTTTTAAAAATTACGTTTATATATGCAGAACTCTCCACACACTTTTTTTGTAGTAATGTGTTTTGGGGGTTTTAACTCATTCATTCCTGAAGATGCAAATGAACTCTCCCAATGCAAAGATTGGAATAGTCCATTATAACATTTCAGGGGTGCATGAGTTAAGGTACCAGACGTGTATTTCCATAGTGTTTTTAGTTCACTCACCTAGATCTGTATCATAATCAAACGCTTTATCATTTTCAAAATATAGTAAGATTTTATGCCAGGATGTTTATTTTTACTGTTAGTATCAGCAGAAACAAAATAGGAGAAATGGCCGTTCAGATTTGTTCCCTTTCAACAATAAATAGGAAACTTGCTTACCAACATTCCTGATAAACATAGAACCAATCATTTCATCACTTATGTCAACATATTTAACTCATTCACCCCTGAAGACACATTTGAACTATTCCAAAAAAAAGGTTGGAATGGTTCATTATGAAATTTCAGGTGCGAATGAGCTTATTGGTAATCATAAAAATCCCTTTATTCTTGTACCCTGACAATCCGATAAATTTCCCCTTTTTTTCCATAATTTTACAATTTTGATGAAGAGATTCTCAGAAGTTTTAAATAATGAAGAACCGTCCATAGGTTACTACCATAACTGATTTTACTCAAATCTGTCGTTTTGTGTCCTGATATTCTGTGGCTGTTTCATTTCAAGGGGATGTTAAAAAACACTAGATGCACATTTTAATTAAACTTATCGACAATAGCTGTCGGAATGATCAAATTGTTTGTCAGAAATTTAACTCTTGGCATTTTCTTTTGTTGAATAGGTAGCTTACAATGGTATTTTTTTGTGTTTTCCCCTCAAGATTTAAGTGAAATTCTGCAATTTGTAACAGAAAAATTGTAGTTTTAAACACTTAAAGGATCTTAATAATTTTGTCAAGCCATAGGATTTATTTGTTTGTAGACAAGAAAAGATACTTATGTCTGAAGTGTGGTCATACTTTCTTTGATTATTGTTGTCTGTGACACAATGATACCTTAACCTTTCACCACTGTAGACCATAATGGACTTATCCATATTAATGCATGGTAGAGTCTACTAAAGTTACATAGGGGTGAAATGGTTAACATCTAAATTCCTCTCACTCGTCACTAACCATGCTATACTGAAAGTATGTGGGACATAGTCACATGACTGGCATGTCTATTTTTAGAAAGTGTTTGTTTTGGAACTAATTCAAACAGCAACCATTTCCTCATGAGTAATTTGAAAGGTATACAGGGCCGTTTCCGTTTAACGGTTCAACTGGTCGGACCACAGTTGTTGGTTTATTAAATAATGTCGGACCTAGTAATCTGATGCTGCTTTCAGGCGAGGCCTGCACAAACATTTGGAGGTCCGCCAGTATTCATACCCGAAAATTTAAAGTGGACGCACCGGTTCCGCATAAACGAACATGTCCGTGGCCTAAGATATTGATGATGATGATGAACACTTTTAAAGGGAGATCACTCTGATACATATCACCAGCAGTCCTTATATTCGTAAGGTAGGATATATTCTTGGGTGGCTAGTGATATGCCGAATTTAAATGTCCGTCCACCATGTGTCTTTTATTTCGGATCATCTTGTATATAAAAAAACATTTAATGACATCATTCACATCATTCATTATGGAGTAAAAACTGAAAGTGAATATCCTCGAAAAAAAATTACAATGGGAATAAATGGATGAGAAATAGTTTTGACGAGTGTGTTATTATCAAATAAGGAAAAATAATTTTAGTTTGAAGTTGATTTATTCAAATTGAAAAAATTCACAGTAATATTATTTAATGAATGAAAGAGAAATAGATTGTTTATTCTCTATAGATGAACTTGTATTACTGTTCTAGTAGTGACAGTTTACAATGATGAACTTATTTACCGGTCTGTCATGGCTCAACTCTAAGAATATAGTGTATCTAGTTGTTAATGCTATTTTACATATTTTCTGAATTTCTGAATTAAAATTATTGAATTCTTTTTTCAAAATTTGATATGTAAACTATATTTTATGACTTGTGATATTTTAAGAGATTTTCTAAAAACCAGTAATTTTTGAACAGGTGCATTTAAATGTTGTGAATTTCACTAAGTGCTAATGTATGGTTGTGTATNTTCACTTAGTTTACATGCTGATTTCCACATCACATCTAAACAATAAAATAAAGCTACCAGTATCTATGATATAACTCAGGTGACCGCTAAGGCCCTTGGGCCTCTTGTTTAATTTGATCTTGTCTTCCTTAGCAATGGAGTGCTTTACTCCAGCCCCAGAATATCTGTGAAATTGGAATATTTGTGCATGTTTTATAGTTCATTTTGTTCCAGAATATTTTATTATATAGATCTTAAATACAAAGGAATTGGGCACCAGGCAAAGCTTATGCAAGTCCTCTCCGTAATACTACTATTGTTTAATATTAGTTTATATCTGTCATAGTTCCCATTTTCAAAATTATTAACTTGTTCACCCCTACAACTTTAAACTGGACTTGCCCAGTCTTTGATATGGTAAGATTCGAATGTGATTTTAGGGGTAAATTGGTTATACAAAATTTTGACAAAAATTTCAAAAATTCTTTGATGCTGACCTTACAGTTTTAAAGCATCTAACAAAATTCAGTAGCTATTCTTTTGCTTACGAATTATGCAGCAAGCAGTCATATTTACTGAACAGAAGTTGCATCCCTTTCACTGAAAAAGCTGCAAAAACTGAGAAATAACTTTAAAATGGTTGATTACTGATATTTTAATCTGTAAAAAATGCAAGAACATGATAGCCTTGGGAAAATGTAGGAAAAAAGGATGAATTAAAAAAAATATGTATTTTTGTTTTCATTTATAAGGAAAAGTGATTGTGAATCGTGATCTTTTGTGAAGACATTTGAATGAGGAACATTTAGAGGTTGTATCTTTGGTGAATTTACATTGTATGTTGTTGAAAGTTGTGGTATGCATTAAGTAATTTAGAGTAGTTCAATTTTATTTGATAAACTCACTGTAAATTAATTTGTCATTTACCATGTTTTATACAATTGTATGAATGAAAAGTGAGAAGTTAGTAGGACACATAATGCTATTGTTGATCTATAAACCGTTGAAAGAGGTATGGTGCACAATGTCTGCTTAGCACTGTTTTACTTAATCTTCTTTTAAATCCGAAAATACACCATTAGTGACAATGTGTATTCGTGCATTTGATGACCATGTCTAAAATTAAGACATATTAAATTTCACATTCTCTAATAAAATATCTAATAATTGAAGTAGATTTTACGATGGGAACTTTCGATCAATAGGTTACAATACCATACACGTACCTTAGCTATATCTGATCTATGGTTTCTACTGACAGATCAAGATTCCATATCTTGGTTTGAGACAGAATGCAAGAAGTTAATGACATATTGTTTGGCGCATTTAAAAAAAAAAAATGGAGTTAGCACATGTAGTGCTAGTCAGTATTACGTGTGTATTTTAAGAAAAGGATTTTAATGTTAGATGATGATTGATGATGATGATGATGATGATGATGATTAAAGTCATCTGTAAGTTTGTACTTGCATGCACAGTCTGTCATTAACACTTTTAACGTCTGTAAAGGAAAAATAAAATGTTTTGTTGTATATTGTACGAAGTAGCAAAATTGATGTAAAAAGAAAAAAGTATCCGATTATGGACGAAGGTTGAAGCAGGCCAAAGTATGCCATACCTCTTTCTAAATTGATGTATATTCAGATAAATTTTAAAGTGCCATGTTTGATACACACCATGTGCTTAACTGTAACTACTGTTCTGAAGGTGCTTGAGAATTGTTGTATATATTAAAGAGATGTAAACATATAAAAAGAGTTTGTGTATAATTATGTAATTTTTTCCCTGCACTTATCGCCTATCAAGCTAGGGCTGGAACGTTAACTTACACATTTACCTTTATAATGAGGATGGTTACCTTGTATTGGGAGACTTTCCTGAAGAGGTCATCATGATCATATATAGATATTGTAACTGTAAAATAGGTTCAATTTAGGAGTGGTATTTAATCAATTATAAGCTTAAACAACCCATTTGGACTGAAATGTCTCGCCTATGCCCCTCTTTGACCATCAATGCACATAACAGAAACTAACTTCAACACAAAAACTTAATGTTGATGGAGATGCTGACAAAGTCAATGGACCATGAAAGGTAGGCCGCATCCAGTTTTTGATGCATGGGTTGAGATTTACTACCTAAGATGCATCTATGTTCCAAGTTTGGTTGGTCTAGCACTAACACTTTCAGTGAAACTAACTTAAATGCGAAAACTTAATGTTGACGTCGCCGTCGCCGGAAAAGCAACAACTTAATCTTGCTTCCACTTTGCGCGGCGAGACAAAAACTGGTAAATGTATCTTCATTGTGATTGTAAGGTCAAAATCAGTTAACATGAAGGTACTGTATTCACAAGAACAACTAAAACTCAATTTGTACCAACAAAAGTAGCCTAAATTTGAACATGTATTTATAGACAGCTCTTAATAAAGAAAACCAGTAACCATCAAAGTCTTTTGCCAGCAGTCAAGATGAACAACATTACAAAAACACATCCCTCGGCCAAGTTGTTCAGAGCCAAAGCAACTGAAACTGTGAACACATATTTTCAAAATGAAATGTTTTAAAAATATCTGAAAAATTGCTATTATACTTTGGTGCTTTTGTCTTCAGAAGCCATTTTTTAATCCCTATACTTGTAGTTGTCTGCTGGATAACCAAACTTCTCGGTAGTGAAGCGGACGTAAAACCCATCAATCAATCAAGTTCAGTTTTGAATTTCAATACTTTTCAAAATATACAAAATGAAGCGGAGAAGAATAAACTTGTCATGACAAAAGAAAACAAAATAACAAATTATATAAATGTTTTAATAAAAATTCAACATTTTTCAAATAGATATTTTCTATCAAAGCTGTGATCCTTAAAAAAATTAATACATGTAAAGTGCAAACTGAACAGACAAGGAAGGGAGATAACTCCTTCAAGATCTTCAATAAGATTCATCAGTTTGGAAATATGTACCATCAAAGTTTTACTTTATACACAAACAATATAAGTATTAAATGTGTGGCAAAGTTTCAAGACTGACTGGTCCCTTTTTCAAGCTATGACCACCATTAAGCTTGACTAAGGGACAAGTCAGTCTTAAAACCTTACGACACGTTTAATACTTAAATTTGTTTGTGTATAAAAGTAAAACTTTGATATAACTCCTTCAAGAGTTCTGCAAGAGACTCGTTTCTAATCCCAAAAGTTTTGTTCATATCAATATGAACAAATATAAAAATACTTGACAAACATAAAGAGATTTCACACAAATATTTCATATGACATAATACCAAAGTTATAAAGGAAGAAAAATGCCTTCAAATGTAAGATTTTGCAAGCTCTGTTTCTTTGACTTATGATATAGTTGCACTTTTCATGGACACAAGTACTGATTAGAAGGGAGATAACTTTACCAGAGGCTAATGTTAATCTTGATTCCTATTCCGTCTTTTAGTATTGCAGAGTTATCTGCTCTTGTGAGCAGGTATTGATTGTTACGTCATTTGTTTGTGAGAGTTACGTCATCATTTTTTGAGAAAACGACGTAATTTTCTCACACAAACTAATGACCTAACAATCAATACCTGCTAACAGGAGCAAATAACTCTGCAATACGAAAAGACGTAACAATCAATACCTGCTCACAGGAGCAGATGACTCTGCAATACGAAAAGACGGAATAAAGCTTTGTACCACATGTATCAAATACACCTTATAAACTAGAGGAATGAAATGTCAAATGAGTTTAGGTCTCTAACCTAGCAGTCTAATACTGTATTAAATTAACATACAGAAAAACCTCAATATAATGCCACTGGTATCCATTGCCACCTCTCTGTCACATATCACCAAGTATGTCAAAGTCCCCTTTTCTCTCTTTCTTAATTTAACATTCACTTATATTTCCCTCTTTATATTGCCAAACCCCTTTATAATGTCACAATTTTCCTTGAAAAATGATGGCAGTGAAGTGAGGTTATACAGTTTATATACCTAATGATGTCATTCTAGACTTCTAAGGAAAGATCAAACTCAAGATTTAGTGTAGCTGTTCTAGATAAATATAGATATTCATAGAGAGAGGAAGATAACTTAAGATGTACATGCATACAAATATAGATTGATATTAATAGATACAAATGTATATTTGTATATAATGCTTCCCTATAGTTACCTCAAAAAATCCTTCTTACTTCTGCCGCCTTAGAAAAAATCCTGCACATATCCTGGCTACTGACATCAATCTTTAAGACCAGGACCTGGGCTGAGAGAAAAGCAAAGGATCATTGCCAATTTTAGAAAAACTTTAATTGCTGCCTTTACCCATTCACCCCTGAAATTTCAAAATGAACTATTCCAACCTTTGAATTGGAAGAGTTCAAATGTGTCTTCAGGGGTGAATGAGTTAAGTACCACTAGATGAAGAAGAGGTAGGTACAATTGTAGGTTAACAAGTGGTTTCATTTAACCATCTGACAGAGATATCCATGTGTAAGGATTTGTCTGTACATAGAGATGTACTGTCCCGCACGTCTTGTGTGCTTAACGACTAGCTCCTCGCACAACGCCGACTTGCTCCTCAGAGAGTGATTGACATGGTGTAGTCCAAGTTGCCATAGAAACTGTATCACAAAGTCAAAACAGTTGTATATATCCTCATGGTATCTGAAACAAAATTAGGAGCAAAAGTTAATATATTTCCCTCTTTTGTTAAAATCTTGTTTAATATGTTGCAAAATTTACCAAACAGATAATGTGAACTATGCAATATGGTGGTTGTCATGATTGTTTTGTTCTCTCTGTCAATTTTAAGTGAAAATGTTGAAATGGACTATAACCTGTAAGCCATATATTTTAGTACTGATCTATTTTTGTGATTAATTTTGAGGGCTGTAATTCATGTGCAGTGCAAATGAATATTTTGTCAATAAAAGTTAGCAATTGAAACTTTGTTATCATGAGATTATTGTTTTTCTTCACTTTGAAAATAATCCTAACAGCATAAAAAAAATGTTTTAAAGCTAAACATTTTCAGTTCTGAAAATATTTGTTTTAACCCTTTCACCCCTATGTAACTTTAGTAGACTCTACCATGTATTGATCTGGATGAGTCCATTATGGTCTACAGTGGTGAAAGGGTTAAAACCACTAAAAAAATGAAGAAATGAACACCATCAAATATTTTAGCATCAATGTGAAAATGAAGCAACTGATGACAAAAATGCACAATGAGGCTAGCATTGTTGCAGCGAATGACCATACCTGTACTTAGTCCAGCGGTCACTTCTACTCTCCTGTCTCAAATTTGTATCCCACTCTAATGACAAATCTTTATCTCCAGAACTTTGTATCATCTCTATGGCAACGCATTGGTCCCAGCCAGGTGTGTTGATGTTGACTCCATCCTCATCATAGTCAAATGTAACACCTGTGTATATTAAACATCACACCTGTGTATATTAAACATTACACCTGTGTATATATTAAACATCACGCATGTGTATATTAAACATCACGCATGTGTATATTAAACAATACACCTGTGTATATTAAACATTATACTACAAACACTGACATGCACATCAGTCAATGTGGTGTACCTTATTACCTGCAATAAATGCAATTTACAGTACATTGGCGAGACCTGCACCCAGCTCAATGTCAGGATCAACAACCATCGCTGCTCCATCAAGCAGAACAAACCACACTTCCATGTGGCAAGGCATTTTAATATGCCTAGCCACAGTTAGAAAGACATGCAGGTTGTTGCCATAGATCATTGCCCTACATGGGATGAAACGAGACGACGTTCGAGAGAACAGTTTTGGATCACCAATCTACAAACCCGCTACCCTCGAGGTATGAATTCACGAACGATAGGCAGTTGCCATCCGCTCGTTTTCCTTCCAGGGGGCATTTGACCTAATGATGCATTACTGCACAGTTGGTCTGCTATCTCGCTTGCCTGCTGCTTCATGTCAGTGTGTGTGACCAACAGCCGTTGTCAGATTCATTTTGCAGATTTATACAGTATCTTAGCCAGTTCATCTACTTATTCCTCCTGCACTCACTTATTTGATAATTACATGCATTATTCCTGCAAACCAAAAGAGGCGACTAAGTGTGGACCCCCTGCTGTGACTGTTAGATCCCCCGCAAAATTGAGAGGCGACTAATGAGACATTCCGAAGCAAATTGAGATTTTTCACATTTACCGGGCCAGATTTCCACATGCACATGTTCCACGTTTTTGATATCTCATTGACTCACTTTGTGTGATAGTGTATCTTGCGCAAGAATAGGTCCTCTACATCAGCGTTCCTTGTCCGCGATGCTCTCAGCTTAATTGCTGCCTTCGGCTGTCTTTAGCCGAGGGGACTATTGGTTTTATATAATAGCTATATTTTCAATTATGATATATCAGTTATATCTTCTTGTAATATATGTAATATGATGTATATGTACATGTAACTGTTCTGCTTCACTGTGTCTTGAAAAAGGAGCTGATCGCTCCGAAAATTTGACAACCTAAACTTGTCCACACTGTTGGAATTACTTCTTTGCCCCAAACATTACACCTGTGTATATTAAACATCACACCTGTGTATACTAAACATCATACCTGTGTATATTAAACATCACACCTGTATATATTAAACATCACACCTGTGTATATTAAACATCACACCTGTGTATATTAAACATTACACCTGCATATTTCATCCAAACATTACACTAAACTGAAGCTTGTTTTATATAAATCATACACGTGTCATTTCACAAAGACACTAAGTGTTAAATGCAACAAGGACTTATGTATGTTGCTCAAGGCTCCCACATGCTGTAAACCTTATCTTAAGCCTTTCACTACTGTAGACCATAATGGACTCATCCACATCAATGCATGGTAGAGTTTTACTCAAGTTACATAGGGGTGAAAGGTTAAACAAAAGATCTGCAAAGTTTAAATGAATATCTATATCACCTAAAATAAGCACCATTATTGTCTCCTTTTAAAAGCTTTCTAATGGGGATCGAGATAGTCAGCTTCTCCGGACTACACTAAACTATTCTGTCACTTCTATTTTCTTTTTATATTTGCATGTTACTGTCCAAAGTACACGATATATATACATGTTTACCTTGTGAGTCGGTCAACCCTATGTGCAGATTTGATGTATCTGTGTAGTTTCTGTAACAAAAACAGAGTCAAAGGTGTTTAAAAATATTTAACAAGAGAAAAAGATATATTGTCTCCGTCAAATGTGTATATAAAATAACCTCATGATTTACACAGAAATATACATGTGTGGCAGGGTTCAATTGTACATAGGATTAAGGTCGCCTTCTAGCTTCGAGCTAGGGGGAATTTCCCTTTAGCTCAGTGGTAGAGCGTCCGACTAGGAACCTGGAGATCGAGGGTTCGATCCCCGGTGGAAGCACACTATTCTCTTTCCTGTTACACATGTATGTGTTTTATCTTACAGTTATTTTAATAAAGAAGTAGATTTTATTTCAATCAGAGACTCAGGTATGAACAGTTTTGAAGAGTAATTGAACCATGTATGGGACTACAGATAAATCAACAGGAATTAATATAAGCTCTTATCTTGTTTTCCAATACCAGTGTAATTATATATATGTAATTAATATGTTTGAATATTGAATAAATACTGTTTAAACTAAATCATCCTTGATACTCCAGGGGTTATGCTCACTTTCACTCTCTGCCTCCAAAGATTATGTCATAGCAAAATTGAAGGCATCCAGGTAGCTATTTGATTGGTCTCAGGTAAAAAAAACCTGACCAATCGCTAGGCCAATACTTGTTTATTGAAAATTACAGAGGAGCAACAACCGACTTCAAAACACATCAATTTTAATGTTACCCAGCTGCAAGATTTTTTTTATGTTCATCAAAGGATCAAACTATTCTTCTTTTCTCATCCACAAGGTGGTGTACTCTGAGACTTCGATATTGCTATGACATATTTCGGGGGTACACTACAGAGCGTGAAAGTTGGCGTATTTAACCCCTGGAGTATCGAGGATGAAGTCTCTGTGAGTTTGGAAATTTTCAAAATAAAGATATCTGGATGTGTAACCTGGACGTCTAAGCTCACCATATAAACGGTTGCAATTGGTTAATCTAAAAATCTAGAAATAAACTCTTGTAAATTTTCATTTTCTTATCGTTTTCTAAATTCATTTTTATAAGAATAACAACATAAAACCACGAAAGATAATATACGATCATACTATAATGATCATTTAGTCTAATTCAAGGCTCGCTTTCATCCTTTCAAGACATTTCAGGTACTTTTCATCAATTTTAGGGCCTTTTCAAGGCCTGCACGGACCCTGTATTACTCAAATAGTTGGTTTAAATTCTTGACATACTTATTATTATCAGTGTATTTAATGTACTCACTGTAGAAATGTACCTAACGTTGGTTTGATGATGATGGAGAATGGGCGGTGACAGGCCTGTACAAAAGGTGATGGTAAGACGTACGGGGGGATTCGACTTGCACTTTCTCTCGTGTCCCTCCCACACAGGGGGCAGATTTGGGGGACAGAGAAACACAGGATGTTCTGTGTCCGGTCACAATGCTGGAAGCACCTCACTGTAGTCTCATCTGTGGCCATCTTGATCTGTATAATTATATTTTAAGACTCATTATATTTAGAAATGTTAATTGGGATTTCTACTGCCGACTAACAATATAAAATTCTCCTCCTTATCCATTCGTGTTCAGCTTTTATAATACTTGTACACAAAATGTAGAAAAAATGTATCAAAACTTAGATACCAAAAGGTCATACAGGACTAATTTCGAAGTTTTACTTGATACATCAACAATGTACGTATTAAAAGTGTTACAACATTTCAAGACTGACTTGTAAAATAAGTCGTCCTTTTGTCAAGCTATGACTGAGTGAGCGATTTGAATGAAAATAAACAATTTCGTCACATCTGTGTACAAGTAAACAATCTGAATCCCTCACTAAGTCATAGCTCAACAAAGGGACTAGTCAGTCTTGTAGCGTTGCGACGTCCGTGTTCAATATGTACAATGTGTGTATAAAGTAAAACTTTCATATGACATATTTCCAAACTGATGAATCTTATGGAAGATGTACATGTCATACTTGGCTTATTGATAAAACATACTGCTTTTGAGCCAGAATTATATGCTCATCATGGTTTTACTAATTTCTAAAACATCTGTATAGATCTATTTCAAATGAACAAATTCAACGCAAGTTAAGAACATATGACACAAATTTCAACGATGTAGGAAATGTGAATAGATTGTCTGCCACTGTCTGTGATTTCACATGGAACAAATAAACGTTGGCATTGGAAGAATTTCTAACTTAGTTTTCACTCTGTTCCGTTAAATCTGCCAAAATTGATGCATTTAATTCCTGAATTTTTAATCTTCTTTACCAAACAAGTCAGATTTTTTTTTACATTGTTTTTTAAGTACAATTAGATATGTATCTACAATCCGATCCAGAGTATACAGATGTTTTATCTGCCTATTTCTTATAGAAACTACAAAATAAAACCTACATATTCAAACACACAGTCTAATCCAACCAATTTGTTGGATTGAGATGGTGTTGGGTTAGGCAGATTTCACTGTAATGTTGCCTACTGTATAACACCAGTTACAAGTTCATATTACCTTCAAGAGCAGGGGTCTGACACAGAGATACATGTATGTGTATATCTTGTATTTTGCTATATTATGCACCACTATCAGCCACAGCTGTGTCGCACACTATTATTTATTATATACACATCATATATACATGTTAAGTGTAAAGCAACTGCATGTGCGATCAGCCTTCATCCTTAGAGAACCAACATCTCATTCGCTCGGCCCAAGTGTGTGCCCTCAAGCAACACTCATATGTATAGTATCAGACTTAAGACAGTCTGAGCTCCACCCTTGTCAACCCTCGGGGTGAACAAAGCAATTAATTATTAACTGTGTATATATATAGCATTATGAATGCAATACGACGATATAGCACAGGAGCCTCAAATTCTACCAAAAAATAATTATAACAGTAATACAAAGAAAACTATAAAATGCTTAAAAAAATAGGCGATTTTTTGTATTACTGTTATAATTAATTTTTGACATTATTTCAGGCTCCTGTGGATTATTTATGAACTCTGAAAAGTAAGACTAGATTTTGTTTTCTGTATGATCTAATTGTAAAAGAACTCTTAACCATGTAGGCCTATATGTGTTGAAATATGTAATAATTTCAATTCATCGCTTCCCCTTTTTTTGTTTTAAAATTACCAATGACATACCTACACAGAAATTAAGACCTACCTGTCAGCCTGTGTACAGCTCCAAATTGAACAGCATATCACGTGGGCGTCTATAAATAGTTACCGTAAAGTATTCCCTGTCTGATATTGTCAAGCATCAAGGTGTTTGTTTATTAAATTAATCATTTTTTAAAATGTATTACAGTTGAATGACTTGTAAGTTTATAAAGTATTTTCAGACAAATGTGTAGTTTATTCTTTTGGAAAGGTCTTTACGACAACACAAAAAATGATACTTTTGATCAGCGTGACAACAACGTTTTGTTAACACCTACGAAAATACAGAACATTTAAAGATATAAATAGACCAAGTTAATATAATTGTTTTGCTTTCGTTTTTGACACGTGTAAACAAAGAATATGTTTTTTCACTTATTTCTACATTAGATCGGTTTTATTCAGATATGTTTAATTTTAAATGATCCAAAATAATCTGCTCTACTTTTCGCAATGTTGGCGCCTGTTTTAAAATCGAAAGGTGACAATATAGAACGTTCCGTGTCCTACACGAAGATAAGATTTTGTCAACATGGCGACCTATGATTTGAGAAGTCGTAAGCTGCAGCAGCAGAATACAGATAGAGCGGACATGAAAGAAAGTAGTTCTAACAAAACAGATACGTCGAAATTATCATTTGCCGACGAGGAAGACAAACCCATGATGTCAAAATCTGCTGACATAAAGATATTTGGACGGTCGTTCAATTCGACTATAGTAGCAACACATGTGAACATTTTCCTATATGCAACATGTTTTTGGATCCAGACTGGAGCACTGCCTGTTAGTATAGTATAAGAAGTTGCCATGTGAAAAAGTCAATGTTTTGAATGGGGTTACAATGTCTACCAACAACGAATGGATAGTATGAGCTATATAGGTGCCTAGCTAGTTAGCTTTTTAAAGATGGGAGTTGCTATCTGTTACTGATAGTACTGGTGTTAGTTTTATATTTACACTGTGTTTGTATAGCAGAGCTGGACGGGGTAGATCGTTGGTGACCAGGAAGCTCAATTGGTAGAGCATCTGTCTAGAGTTCGGATAGCCTGAGTTTCCTCTGGCCCTAACAACGGACCTCGACATTTTGATCACATACAGATGTCTGGCGTGGGGCCAGAGTGCACTGCTATATGAAAACGTGAAATCCTCCAACATCGTTTATTTTGGTATCAGAGAGTTATGAGGTGCTGACAACAAAAATCTACTATGACATAACACATACCTCACATATATCGATAAATGGATTATTTATTGATCCAAATCCGCTCTTATTAATAACACCATTTTTGTAGGTCATAGGGTGACTAATCAACAAACCATACCAAAAACCGAATATATTATTCTTGTTTAGAAGATATCCGGACAGTGTCCTTTTGTTGATTAGTCACTCCACGATACCAATTGGTGTCGGGGAATTCCACATTTTCATAATTAATAGCAGTGCATGCGCTCTGGGCCCCACACCAGACATCTATATGTCAAAATGTGTAAGTCTGGTGTTAGGGCCAGAGGAAACTTGGGCTAGAATTTGGAGGGTCCCAGGTGGTGCCATTGACCAACCCTTGTTTCAAGCATGAAGCATTTGATGTATTGCTTGGCAAGGGGATACCCGGACCTTGGTTTTTTACAATGTAAATAATAGTGTTTTTTGGGGCAAAGCGGAAGGAGGAATGTAGCGGAACTGGTTTGGGTCAATGATCAGCAACTACGTAGCTCAATTGGTAGAGCATCTGTCTAGAGTTCAGAGGGTATTTGGTTCGAACCCCAGTCTGGCTGTGCTCTTTGCATCATCTGTAACATATGTTCAGTTAAAAGAATGTTAAAATCAATTTTCAGGCCCTATTTAGAAATAGACTAAGACCATCATTATGAGACCAATAATAAGAGTATATACTAACAAGAAATATTCCCTCTTTGATATGAACCATTGGAGGTAATTGTAAAGACACTGGTATAATGCCTTCCCTTGTTATTCAAATATTTTACCCTCCAAAAGTTGAAGAGATCAGTATGTCTATATGACCAGAACATAGAAATAGAAAGAATATTTATATGAACTATTAAGAAATGAAATGATGCAAAATGCTGCTATTGAAAAAAGAAAAGAGGAGATATGTTTGAAGAAGTTAAGGATTCATTATCTTTTTTTTTTTAGGTTTCACAACAGTTGATAATATCTTACGATTACATTTGTTTTGCAATAAAATTTATCATTGAGAATATCATTATATAGGGGTAAGGTCTGTTTTGCATTATTTTGAGGGAATATGATGTATGCAGATATTTGAAACTTACTGATAATGAGTTATCTCCATTTTGCAGTTAATCCTCTGTGATGTTGTTGTCTCTATTGTGAATGTTTGTTGCAGTGATATATATTCTATTGTTGTAGTGAAATATTCTATTGCTGTAGTGATATATTCTATTGCTGTAGTGATATATTCTATTGTTGTAGTGATATATTCTATTGTTGTAGTGATATATTCTATTGTTGTAGTGATATATTCTATTGTTGTGGTGATATATTCTATTGTTGTAGAGATATATTCTATTGTTGTAGTGATATATTCTATTGATGTAGTGATATATTCTATTGTTGTAGAGATATATTCTATTGTTGCAGTGATATATATTCTATTGTTGTAGTGATATATTCTATTGTTGTAGTGATATATTCTATTGTTGTGGTAATATATTCTATTGTTGTATTGGTATATTCTATTGTTGTAGTGATATATTCTATTGTTGTAGTGATATATATTATATTGTTGTAGTGATATATTCTATTGTTGTAGGGATATATTCTATTGTTGCAGTGATATATATTCTATGGTTGTAGTGATATATTCTATTGTTGTAGTATATTCTATTGTTGTAGTGATATATTCTATTGTTTTAGTGATATATTCTATTGTTGCAGTGATATGTTCTATTGCTGCAGTGATATATTCTATTGTTGTGGTGATATATTCTATTGTTGTAGTGATATACTCTATTGTTGTAGAGATTTATTCTATTGTAGTTGTGATATATTCTATTGTTGTGGGGATATATTCTATTGTTGTAGTGATATACTCTATTGTTGTAGAGATATATTCTATTGTTGCAGTGATGTATTCTATTGTTGTAGTGATATATATCACTGCAACAATAGAATATATCCCTACAACAATAGAATATATCACTACAACAAAAGAATATATCACTACAACAATAGAATATATCACTACATAGAATATATCTCTACAACAATAGAATATATCACTGCAAGAATAGAATATATCACTGCAACAATAGAATATATCGATATATTCTATTGTTGTAGTGATATATTCTAATGTTGTAGTGATATATTCTATTGTTGTGGTGATATATTCTATTGTTGTAGTGATATAATCTATTGTTGTAGAGATATATTCTATTGTTGCAGTGATATTTATTCTATTGTTGTAGTGATATATTCTATGGTTGTAGAGATATATTCTATTGTTGTATTGATATATATTCTATTGTTGTAGTGATATATTCTATTGATGTAGTGATATATTCTCTTGTTGTAGAGATATATTCTATTGTTGCAGTGATATTTATTCTATTGTTGTAGTGATATATTCTATTGATGTAGTGATATATTCTCTTGTTGTAGAGATATATTCTATTGTTGCAGTGATATTTATTCTATTGTTGTAGTGATATATTCTATAGTTGTAGTGGTATATTCTATTGTTGAAGTGATATTTTCTATTGTTGTAGTGGTATATTCTATTGTTGAAGTGATGTATTCTATTGTTGTAGTGGTATATTCTATTGTTGAAGTGATATTTTCTATTGTTGTAGTGGTATATTCTATTGTAGTTGTGATATATTCTATTGTTGTGGTGTTATATTCTATTGTTGTAGTGATATATTCTTTTGTTGTAGTGATATATTCTATTGTTGTAGGGATATATTCTATTGTTGTAGTGATATACTCTATTGTTGTAGAGATTTATTCTATTGTAGTTGTGATATATTCTATTGTTGTAGTGATATACTCTATTGTTGTAGAGATTTATTCTATTGTAGTTGTGATATATTCTATTGTTGTGGTGATATATTCTATTGTTGCAGTGATATAGTCTATTGCTGCAGTGACATATTCTATTGTTGCAGTGATATATTCTATTACTGCAGTGATATCTTCTATTGTTGTAGTGGTATATTCTATTTTTGTAGTGATATATTCTATTGTTGTAGTGATACATTCTATTGTTGCAGTGATATATTCTATTGCTGCAGTGATATATCACCACAACAATAGAATATATCACAACTACAATAGAATATATCTCTACAACAATAGAATAAATCACTACAACAATAGAATATATCACTGCAGCAATAGAACATATCACTGCAACAATAGAATATATCACTGCAACAATAGCATGTATCACAACTACAATAGAATATACCACTACAACAATAGAATATACCACTACAACAATAGAATATATCACTGCAACAGTAGAATATATCACTGCAACAATAGAATATACCACTACAACAATAGAATATACAACTACAACAATAGAATATATCACTGCAGCAATAGAACATATCACTGCAACAATAGAATATATCACTGCCACACTAGAATATATCACTACAACAATAGAATATATTCTATTGTAGTTGTGATATATTCTATTGTTGTGGGGATATATTCTATTGTTGTAGTGATATACTCTATTGTTGTAGAGATTTATTCTATTGTAGTTGTGATATATTCTATTGTTGTAGTGATATATATTATATTGTTGTAGTGATATATTCTATTGTTGCAGTGATATATATTCTATTGTTGTAGAGATATATTCTATTGTTGCAGTGATGTATTCTATTGTTGTAGTGAGATATATTCTATTGTTGTAGTGATATATTCTATTGTTGTAGAGATATATTCTATTTTATTGTAGTGATATATATTCTATTGTTGCAGTGATATATTTTATTGTTGTAGTGATATATATTCTATTGTTGTAGTAATATATTCTATTGTTGTAGTGATGTATTCTATTGTTGTAGAAATATATTCTATTGTTGTAGGGATATATTCTATGGTTGTAGAGATATATTCTTTGTAGTGATATATTCTTTTGTTGCAGTGATATATTCTATTGTTGTAGTGATATATTCTATTGTGGCAGTGATATATTGTATTGTTGTAGTGATATATTCTATTGTTGTAGTACCTGACCAAGAAGCTGGGAGTGGACATGGTGGTGTTTGGTTACCTCCAGACGACCTTTGCCATTGTCCAGCTCGCAGGCGGTCCATTGTTCGGACGATTCGGTGACCTGTTTGGAGGAAGAGCTGCCATGATGCTGGCATTTGCCTCAGCTTCTGCAACATACCTCTTCCTTGGTCTTGCTGACAGCTTTCCTCTACTGTTCATATCACGTCTCCCATCAGTGTTTATGCATGCAATGCAAGGTTTGTGTTATAAAAAATAGAGGTCGTTTTACTGTTTTTACCTTGCAATATGGCCAGGGAGGCAACACAAAATCACTGATTCAAAGTAGGGATGGGACAATAAAATTACGTTTTTGGAATTTCTACTGAATTCCAATTGATATTGGTGGGCTTATTACCAGGCATGGGCTTATTGTAGGATAAATACAGTAATTATGTGTGACTGCTTTTTTGTAGACTTTTACCTCTTTTTGTAATACTGTGTTTACATTATTGCTCTAATATGTTGAAAACACCTGTTCACATCTTAGTCCCTTTATCACTAAAGTAGATGACATTTAGTTTTTCTTGTGTAATGCTCTCTGAAAATGTTCAAAGGACTATGGCATTTTGAATTAATACATTTTGAGCAGAATACTGAATAAATCTTTGGCATAAACAACCATGATGAAATTAAATTTGACTTGGATAGCAGCATGGTTGCAAAATATGACATCATTGTGCCGTGCAGCTACAGAACAGCTGGTCACGTCTGTATTTTAGGCTCTTTGCACAAACGTCATATACATACCACCCTTAATTTATTCATTTATGTGCACATTGAGATGATTATCTTCTTGCTTAATGTATAATGGTGATTGTAAGCCATTTTTGTTTCACAATTATAACTAATACTTTTATCCATATGTTGTAAAGCGCTTTAGAGTAATTTTACAAATTATATAGGGCGCTGTATAAATGTTGTATTTTATTATCAATAATATCGAGATATATTTTTTTTTGTTTTTTGTTTTGTTCGTAGCTGGTCAGATGATCGTGACAGACATTGGAGACAAACAACAGCGAGCAGGGTCGCTAGGCATGCTGGGATTGTCGTACGGACTCGGAATGGTAGTGGGCCCATTCATTGGGGGACTGATATCAAAATACTCTAGGTAAAATATGACATTTCACCTTTTGAAATTTTCACCTCAAAGCAAATCAGAAGTCATCACTTTCGGAGATAAAGCTCTGCTGTATGAATATTTGAGTTAGCTCTGCTGTATGAATATTTGAGTTGAATGTCGATTTCATGCAGTTGTGAAGAAAATTATCTTCTATTTATAGTAACGATGATCTTGACTTTTAACTTTAGAAGTAGTTTCAAACAAGCTCTTTGGCTTTTGGAAGCAAAAGTATGCAATTTGAGCTTGATTTACCAAAGGAAAGTTTACTAGTATTTGTGGGGAATTAAATCAGGAGAGACAGACAGTAAAACAGACCGTCAGGAATGGTACTACTGTATAGTTGCTAATATTCACAAAGGTTTTACATAAAAAATCGGTCATACAAAATAAATAAATCCGTCAGCCTAATTATCTTGTTTGTCACAATGAAACCATTTTTGCATACTATTAGCCTTGTAGGCATGAATAAGTAAGCTTACAGATAAACTTCAGCAGAACAAAGAAATGTGTACAGTTTAAATCCTAGACAAGTGAGGAAGTTCTACACTGTTCGTGTAGAAAGTAAAACTTTCATGTTTTATTGATACCGGTTAGTAAGAAAGCCTTTTTCAGCATTTCTTTGTCCCGCTCAAGTTTTTGTACAGCTGACACAAGCCATCTCGATGAAATGGCTTGATTGCGTGATGCGCAAAATTAAACTACTGCAAATAAGTTCTGGACACAAAATCGTGAAATTTTAACCCCACAAAATTTAACATCTTAACAATATTTAATGCCAGAAAATGATGAATTCAGAGAGGTATATTTAGGAGGTATTCGACGGTTTATAAGATATGACGTATTGTACTATTCTTGACTTGTTGCGTTCTCAGTGAGCAGACGGCTGCGTTTGCAGCCTTTACAGGATCTGTTCTCTCTATATTGGTCGCCTACTTCTTTATACCCAAGACAACCAAGAAAGTAACAGTAACCAGCACAATTGAAGGTATTTATTAGAAACCAAACGAAATATTGAAAGAAATGGTGTTTTGCTATGAAAGGGTTGATTGTCTAAAAATATTTAGGAATATTGTAAAAATCATTCTCTTTCAATATGTTTTTCTATTCACTGTTAAAGCTTTCACCGATCAAGATTTACTTGTTCACTTAGCTAGCCAACACAGTAACATGATAGGTAACGGATGGTTACATGAGTGCATGTATTATGTTATAACTGGAAGTACATGTTTTTTTTCCAGAAAAATCGTCATCTGTTTTTGACTTCAAAAAGATTGCAAAATTGGTAATGGCTCCAGGTGCGCTCTTTCTGTTGACCATCCGAGCCGCAGCAGGTATGCTGTCAGACAAAATCAACACAAAACAAGTATCTTATTTTCCACATCAACCCAAAAATAACCTTTACCCACCTTTTTTGTCACAAAGGTCAAATATGAGGAAAACTTCAAGCATCTTCTATAGGCCTGGAGTAGTTATATTAGGAATGTAGGATGCTGGGATAACATGCTATAAAGTCTGTTCAATGCCATTAGGCTATTTAGTAAAGAATGTAAAATCTTCTGACAAAGATCTATCAACTTTGAGCATTAGCTTGCTTAGGTCACGCGTGAGATGTGTTTAACAAACATAGCATTTCAAAGCAACTTCTTACATTCAAGCTTGCATCATAAAACTAGGTAACACCATTTGGGAATGCTTTTTGGACAAAGTTTGATATTAACTCATTCACCCCTGAAGACACATCTGAACGCTTCCAATTCAAAGGTTGGAATAGTTCATTATGAAACTTCAGGGGTGAATGAGTTAAACATACTAACATGCATTGAAAATGGAGCCAGCACTCCACTCTAAAAATAGACAAAATAAACTGCTTTTGGAAGTTTTAGACAAACTTTGGTAGTAAACAACTTATATCTCAGGAGCAATGGACTGAAACTCAAAAGATAAACAAAAGCAATATTAATCTGCTTAATAACTGCATACTCTTGGCAGTTCTATAGAATTGACCCAAGTGTTTGATTGTTTGTGCCACTGTTTTTTGTGTAGTTGCTGATTTGGAGGCGCTGTAGTCTAGTGGTAGGACGCCGGGCTCGTGACCAAAAGGTTGCGGGTTCGAGTCACGGCACGGCACTTTGTTGTATCTCTGAGCAAGATACATTGCTCCTCTTGTTCCAGTCTACTCAGCTGTAAATGAGTACGTGGTTGGGCAGTGCTAAAATTGTTGAATGCTAGCTGTGAGCGCCGAAATGGCAGCCCCGGCTGTAGGCTCCCCAGGGAGTTGAGAAAGCTATTGGCTGGTTGCAAAAGCCCTATAGCCACAGATAATAATTTATGAGTAGCTTTGAGATGACCTACAAACTAGGTTGTGATAAAGCGGTATATAAGAACCTCAAATTATTATTTATTATTGGTATTATTGAAAATGGAGCAAAAACTCCACGGGCAAAAATAAACTGCATTGATAAGCTTGACAGTTCTATAGAATTGACCTAAAGGTTTGATTGTTTGGGCCACTGTTTGTTGTGCAGTAACTGCTTGTACCAGGTATTTTAGCTCCTGTGTGTAATTGTTTGGATTGCGAGTATTCCTGTGTACAACTTAGGCTACATGTCTTTTGACATTTTGTAATCAGTTACTTTGATTCCTTTCTCCCCACAGGTATACCCATCGGTGTATTCCAGAGCATGTTTTCTGTGGTTGCCTTGGAGACATTTAAATTGCCACCAGAACAAAATGGCTACATTCTTTCTTATATTGGAGTTTTAACCATGGTAGGTACACAGATTCGAACCCACTTTATATAACAAGTGTTAATTTCAATAAACTAAAAACTTAAACTTTTTAAATTCGAAATCTTTTCTTAAAATCTGTGTCATATATAAAATATAAATATTGTATGATTTTGACAGTCATATGACAGTTTGGGGACAGTCAGACACCAAAATGTATAATTTTTACTATGTATATACTGCCCATTTGATATCAGTTGTCCATACTTTACCAGTCCTGACGTTTGCCACCTCTTTCCTGGATGTGATATTCCATTGAGTTTAGCAGAAAAACCTGTTTTAGATACAATGTATTTGAAAACAAAGAAATTCAGTGTTTTCGGTTTTCAACTGCTGTGCATGGAGCTATTGTTTTGTTCATATATTTAGCAAATTATTACATGTCAAAAAGAAACAGCTAAAACTTTCCTCATTGTTATTTGTTTCAGATTGTACAAGGTCTAGGTGTATCTATACTGACAAAGAAATACTCGGAAACCTCCATTTTAAAATGGTCCTCATTTTCCCTCATATTCTCCTACTTGGCCTTGGTAAGTATATACTTGTAACCTTGATTATAAGAATCTTCCTGTTTCTTGAAAAATTGTCATTTATTTCTAAATATTTTCTTCGGGTTGGTAAGTATGGATTACGGCAGATGAATGAAGCAATCTGGATATGCTGCAGTGGGCCAGTTCTAAATCGAGATGAGGGGGCTCAAATACTCTCACACATCTTTTACCAAGTATTAAACAAAGCGTAGCTGAATCGAGTCATTTCGGTACATATATAACATCTATTGTACATACGCTTACAGCCCAGCCGAATCATCATCAATTTGTGGACAACTCTTACATATTTTACACCTTTGTGTACATAGGTACGCTTCACTGGTCATTTGTTTGATGAAGGTGACAGAGTACATACTGTACTAGTCATTGTAACATCATTTATAAACACTGTTTGGTTGTGCTACATGAATCTTTTCATAATCCATACTTACCAACCTGAAGAAAATGTTTAGAAATATAGAATTTTCAGTTTTCCTGGTTTTTTGACCTGCCTAGTGCTTTATTTTACAGCAAAGTTGTACTGGTTTGACCTGACTTTAACTTTGTGCTTTGTGTTACAGGCCTTTGTCACCGATGTCCAACAACTTTGTATAGTGATAGCGCCGTTAGTAATGGGACTTGCCTCCTCCAATATCGTCATCAGCTCAGCTCTCAAATGAACAGTGTCCGAACTTGACACAGGTAACAAGAGTCATCTCCATTTCACTCTAATTTCCTCACCTTTAAAGTAATTTATCTCCCCTTTGTATTAATACTTCAAACGATAGAACTTGTTTCCTCCATTATAATCTCACAGTGTCTGTAATTGATCCATCAAACAAGAGCTATCTCCCTTTCACAATTCTTATCTCTCCATTTTTAGCCCACCATCATCTGATGGTGGGCTATTCAAATCACCCTGCGTCCGTGGTCCGTCGTCCATCCGTTGTCCGTCGTCCGTCCGTAAACAATTCTTGTTATCAGTATTTCTCAAGAAGTAGCAGAGGGATCTTTCTCAAATTTAATATGCAGGTTCCCCTTGGTCCTTAGCTGTGCAGGGCAACTTTTGAGACTGATCGGATAAACAACATGGCCGACAGGCAGCCATCTTGGATTTTGATAATGAAAGTTTGTTATCGCTATTTCTCAAGAAGTACCAGAGGGATCTTTCTCAAGTTTTATATGTAGGTTACCCTTGGTCCTAAGCTGTGCAGGGCATTTTTTTGAGACTGATCAGTATTAAGTTTAGATCAAAAGTTACCTCAAGGTGCATTTACTGTTAACATGACTCGATCAAACAGATTAGAGGAAAGAAGAGAAAAGATCGAACTTACAAAGAACTAATGAAGATGGTACAAAGGTGGGCGCCAAGATCCCTCTGGGATCTCTTGTTAGGGATTGATCTCCCCTTAGTTATAGGGCTACTAGTTCTGGGCCGTTTTCGTTTATTGTGGTCCAAATAGTTGAATTGGTTGGAACAGATTTGTTCCTTTATGAAATAATGTCGGACCTAGTAATCTGATGCTAGACCTGCATAAACATTTGCATGCCTACTAGTATTAATACCCGAAATGTTACATTTAAAAACAGACAAACTGTTTGTTCCACATAAACAAACAGGTCCCTAGTTCTGGTTGCCTGATCTTGCCTCCTGGCATAAATTTCATCATCTAAGATTCCATTCATAGTGTCCGAAATTGAATTATTATCTCCCCCTTGCACAGTAATAGTGCTTAAAGCAATGCGACATGCATCCTTTGATACCATCAATAGCTCAGCGTTTGCACACACAGTGTCTCATTTGGTTTCAAGCATCAATGATCCAAACGGTTTATAGATGTTGTATAAATGTTGGATGCAGCCCCCTGCAGACAGCTCAAGGGCCCAAAAGGGAAATATAAGAATAAAAGACTTCTCCTTCAATATGTGTGACAGAATTTTAACCCAATTTGGTTTAGCACCACTGGGTAAAAGGCACCTAAGATTGTATACAGTAAACATTGTTGTGCCCTGGGGTAGAGGGGAGTGCTCAATATGCTGGTCTGTGCTAAATCTTCAAAAGTCTAATCCGGCAGTACAGATAAAAAGATTTTGACCAATTGTGCCCTGAAGCATTAAAGAGAAGGGAATTCTTATTTGTTTAGACAAGTGGTTTGGCCTTTTGGTGCAGAGGGATGCGTCCCAATAAAGGAAATAGAGATAAATCTTTAAAATATCAATATCAACGATTTAAGTATGGTGCAAAGTATCTCTTGGGCAAGGGGACTTAATATGTCCTCCTAAAAAATATGTTTGGACCCCTGAATGAAGAGTGGAGGGCTAGTTTAGGGAAATTATCAATTAGAAAGGCAAAGGGGGAAAGAGGGGAGTAAATGTTGTATATGTTAATGAATTCTTTAAGCCCACTGAAAAATCTGTTTTCCTTCTAATAGAGAGTTGATGTGGACTATCAACTGTTAACAGTCTCATGTGAAATTTAAATCGTGTGAATTTGTTCATGAATTAAAACCATTTTAAGATTCACTCCCAAAATGGAAAGTTCTGTACAAAATCTTTTCCGCTTGATTTGTCTATGTGAATATCACTTGATTTAATTCTCTCTATAGGTGCGATGCTGGGACTAAACATGGCCGTCAACTCACTGATACGCTCGCTGTCCCCCACAGTAGGCGGGATGCTCCTCAAATACTATGGCTTTGCTTCATTTGGTTATTTGGGATTTGTAATGTTGACTGGAGTAACTATATTTCTGTTTTTTAAAATGAGGGACATTTGATCTGAGATTGTTTTAGGGTGGTTTTTTATCGTCTATTTAACAATTTTAAAAGCCACTAATATACCAGTCTGGAGATAAAGTGGTTTTATAATAATTTATGTTTTATTAACCAGATATTTAGATTGAGATTGATATTGATATAAAAAATGTATGAAAATGTAGGGCACTGTTTTATTGTTTCTCTGTATGATAATTAACCCTTTCACCCCTATGTAACTTTAGTAAACTCTTCCATGCTTTGATCTGGATGAGTCCATTATGGTCTACATTGGTGAAAGGGTTAAGGATCACTGTACCACTGCTGAAAGCTACAATTTTCAAATTGAATCCTTTTACTGGCATAGCAATAGGTTTAACCCTGTCACCACTGTAGACCATAATGGACCCAGCCAGATCAATGCATGGAAGAGTTTACTTAAGTAGCATAGGGGTGATAGTACAAATTGTAAAGGTGAAATAATCAAAAGTTGGAATTCAACGACTGTGTTCTTAGATGAAAAATGAAAAAGAGGGCGATAGTAAAGGTGAAATAATCAAAAGTTGGAATTCAACGACTGTGTTCTAAGATGAAAAATGAAAATGATCAGGTCAGGATTCAAATCCTGGATCCCTGCACACAATGCTGTGACTCGAATCAAACTACCTGATTTATGGTAGTTCCCGTGTCCAGTCTCACGTCAGTGATATTCAAAGGTGATGTTACTCTATATATATGTTCTGTAGTGTTTCGCTTGGAGTACAAAAGGGATATAAAAAATTATTGTTTTGCATAGCAATTGTACTTTCAAATGCAATATAAATCTCTTCCTCGATATCCAGGGGTTACGTTCACGTTCGCTCTCTACACCCTGGAATATGTCATAGCAAAATTAAAGGCACTAAAACAGCTGTTTGATTGGTCTCAGGCTAATACCTGTACTCTGAAGATTACAAAGGAGAGACGCCCGACTTCAAAGCCTGTCATTTTTTACCTTACATGATCGACCGCGAGATTCTTTTGATGTACATCAAAGGATCAAACTAGTCTTCTTGTCTCATCAACAAGGTGGCGCACACCGAGCCTTCAATTTTGCTATGAAATATTCAAGGGGTGTAGAGAGCGAAAGTGAGTGTAACCCCTGGATATCGAGGATGTATAAATCTACGTATGTGCATTCTATGTAACAAAGTGTGACAAAGTACTGAAATAATTCTCTTTAAGGCTGAAATGAAAAATGATAACACAATTGTCACTCTTAGTGCCAATATTGTAGTATCCTGCCGTTCTTCGAGGGCGAAGGTCATAGATGAATTTAAGTTACATCCATCTTGCTTCCTTGGACAAACATTCTCTTCTTCTGAAGAAGCAATATTGATGTTCTTTATCCGTGTTTACATCGCCCTTGAAGAAGGTATGGAGGCAAAAATATTAGGACTGGGAATGACATTTGTATTATCATTTATCTTCTTTTTTTCTATGGAAATCATGTTTTTGCTTAAACAAAAGTTTCTACACACAGAATATTTTCTGGAGACATTGGAAAAGAGAAATTCTCTCAAAAATTGGGATGTAAGTATGTGGCTTCAAACCAACATGGTATATAATATTTATTTTTGAATTGAGCATTAATGTATGTTTGTTAAAATAATGTTGTAAATGTGTAGCTTTGCCCATTTACTGCTCTTAATTGTCATAATTGTCCTCTGGTTGTGAACATTTCGTTGATAAAACTACACATTCCATCCTGTGTGTTGTTGGTAGACCTCTAGCCAACACATATATAAGCATTAAATTTCGAAATTAAATTTCTTGATATTGCATTCATGGTTTTTCTCAAGTTTAAAAGATACGTCTTATTCCAAAACAGTTAAGATTTAATGCAAACAATGTGAGTGATATTTTCTGGGATTTTTCAGTGATGTTCAAAAAGTTATTGAAAGATGAAAAAACAAAAATCAGTCTAAAATGGTGCATCTACAGAAAATGTAGTTACATGCAGTCTCATTCCTGTGCGTGTCCATGACAGGAAAGGGATGTAGGGAACTGCTAGCTTAGACTCCATTTCACATGCGCGATGTGACATAGGGACAACAATGAAGTAACGTCACAAAATCTTTAAAAAATATAATGCCAAAAGCAATAATGTCAAAATTGAAAACTAAAATCATTCACAAGTTTTAAAATCGGTAAAAGTAGCATACATTTTACTGCACAAACCTACATGTTTGGGTATTCTAAATATCACTGTGCAGTTGTTGTTGTTGTTGTTGTTGTTGTTATTTAGCCCTAAGGACCAAGTGAGCTTATGTCGTGGTGCGGTGTTCGTCGTCCCTCTGTCCGGTGTCAATATTTCACTTTAAACAACTTCTTCCTAATAACCAAAAAGCCTAGAGTAATGATATACAAACTACTTAGTCAGCATGATGGGATGAAGGGCTACTTAGTTTGTTCAAATGAATGACCCTCATCCATTATCAAGGTCACAGGGGTCTTAATAACCAAAAACTCTATAGTAATGATATTTGGCTAGAAGCAAACTTGGATAAAATGCTACCAAGTGTGTTCAAATAAATGATCTTAACCTATTTTCAAGGTCACAGGGGTCAAATATGTTAAAAACTTTAAACAACTTCTGAAAAACCAAAATGCCAAAGGTGATGATATTTGGCCAGTAGCATGATGGGATGAAGGGCTACTTAGTTTGTTCAAATGAATGACCCTCATCCATTATCAAGGTCACAGGGGTCAATTGTCTTAAATTTTTATACAAGAATTTTTAATTCAACAATTTTTCCCAAAGTTATTGCCCTTTGTTCATTTCAGTATTTGATTTTTGTCCGGCAATCTCCTCCTTCCTTTATTCAACGGATCTTTTTGAAACTTGCTATACATTATAATCATGATATGAAGTTGTGTCTCCCTGAAACGAATTTTGATTCGACAATTTTTCCCAAAGTTATTGCCCTTTGTTCATTTCAGTATTTGATTTTTTTATCTGGAGATTTTCTCAGGTACATTTTTATAGCATGTCAGCTAACCACTCTTTGAATGATGCAGATCTTATTTCAATGTAAGAAAGTATATAACACTATATGGCATTTGACGGGCGTATATTGTTCCGCCCCGCAGTACTCTTGTTTTTAAATAACTTCTGCTCAATAACCAAAAGGCCTAAGATGATGCTATTTGGCCAGTAGCATTCTGTGATGAAGGGCTACCAAGTTTGTTCAAATGAATGATCTTGACATATATATCCAAGGTCACATGGGTAAAATATATGTTTAAAACCTTTATACAATTTCTGATGAATAACCAAAGAAGCCAAGGGTGGTGATATTTGGCCATTAACATGCTGGGATGAAGGACTACCGAGTTTGTTCAAATGAATGACCTTCGCCTATATTCAAGGTCATTGTGGTCAATATATGTTTAAATCTTTAAATGACTTGTTTTTTATAACCAAAAGGTCCAGGGTAATGATATTTTGCCAAAAGCATGCTGGGTTCGAAGACTATAAACTCTGTTCAACTTAATGTCCTTGTTCGACATTTAAGGTCACAGGCATCATTTGTTTAAATCTTTGAATAGGTTCTTATTAATCAAACACTGATATTCTGCCTGTAGCTGTATTTTAGTCCACTTTTAAGATTACAAATGTGAGATTAATACCAGGTGAGCGATTCAGGCCCATTGAGCCTCTTGTTTGTCCTAAAGCTCTGGAAAAACGTGAGTCAGACAAAACGCCTTAACGTGGTGTCTGAGCTTCTTATGCCAATCGGAACAAGACATAAAAAATACATTTTCATGTACAGTGGCGTGAGATAGGGAAATCCTACCTTCAGTGTTTTCAGATTGAATCAAAATCCGAAGAAAGCCGTTTTTTAACAAACTTTGAAACAAGTCAAAACATGAGAATACATACAATTTGGGTGATACGTCAAACATTTCCAGCACCTGGATGGACACTTTGATACCTGCGAAATAGTTCACGATAAAATAACGATAAGGAAAGCCCTACTCGTCTGTCCATCTCTAAATACCAAAACACATATCAAACACTTCCTTACAAGAAAACGGGTACGTAAATACTTCTACTAAACAACAAAACATGTTGACTGGAACACTATATACCTCTAGGTGTAGCCTCTACCACTTCGTCTTCATATCTTCTCTTCAAGCACAATTACAAATCCTACCGACCCCTCTCCTCTTAGGGCCAAGTAAAAATTAGTGATTACCTGTTGGTCAAAATACCACTACAGCTATTTGGCACTACAAGATACCTTGCAATTACTTATCTAACAATGCCAAATATCGCCAACATGACTTCGGTAAACTAGTCGTATGTGGGAACCTGCTGTCTCCAGCAAATAATCTAGAATCCTGCCAACCTCTCGTTGGCAACTACACTTACAGTATATATTATTGTATCTCACAGTTTTGCTGTAATTGGGGACGGGACTGGCTTAAAGTGGTTCAACTGTAAATAATTTATTTGAAGATTTCGCCACTTTTAATGATGTAGCAGGCAAATAGTATGTGTTTTATTTCTGATGTTATGTTTTGTGTTTTGAACAAGATAAGAGTATTCGATTTTATATTGGTATGAATAAAAAAAAGCATCTACAGTACAGTATATTAACTGCACTTACATGCTATACCACGGACTTAGATAGCTAATTCCGTTGTTATACTTTACAGGGCATAAATTGAGGGAAGATTTTCTTTTATATATTGAGTATCATGATGGGTTTCAAACAAGAAATAATGGCAATGTTGTTATTTTCATTATTATATTTCATTTAAGTTTTATCAGTGTTTCATGCATTATATATGAAATTACAAAATTATAATCATTATATATATGAAATAATCTAATCTATATGAAAGCAAGACTTTGTTGGAATATGTACATATATTGTATATTCCGAGTTTC